CAACCCAAACCAGTCTGGGATTCTATAGTTTTCAAGTGCTTCAGGTTGTATGGATGAATTAAATGCCTGGGTAGACAAATGCCAAATCTCCAAATTTTGGTGAATAGAGATGGAAAAAATTAATCCTTCATGTCACTAACTGCTGACAAACCATAAAGGATTAGGACACCCATTCCCAGTGCTTGGATAGATGGATAGCCTTCCCAGCTATCACAAGGGCTCCAGGAATAGAGATGCTTTCCCCGGACTTCTTCCCCCTGAAGTTCTAAAAGGAGTTAGTTATTACCTTGAATTCCTGAGATGAATCCAACTGCTCAGCCAGGCAGGAAAGCAGCATTTGCTCCTGGAAAGGGGAACACAGAGTCCTGTGGATTCCCCATTCCTTCACAAGAGCTACAGTGGCTGAGGCTGCCTGGATTTCTGGGATTACTGCCTTTTGTCCAGCCTTCAATGCAAATAGGCCAGGTGAGATAAGATCTGCACACAGCAGGGCTTGTCCTCTCTGCTTACAGCCAGCCTGGGCTTCTGTGGTGGCAAAACACTCTGAGATCCATTTCAAAGCAAACAAGCTAAGAACAAGGGGAATAAAAGCAATAAAAACTGCTCCCCTTTCCAGCAGTGTGTACCAGTGCTTAGCCACAGGGAATGTTCCATCAGGATCTGAAGGGGCGCCAGGGAAGCTGCAGAGGGAGTCCTGGTTAGGAACTGCAGGGACAGGACAAGGAATAATGGGGAGAAATTGAAAGAGGGAAATTTAGATATGATATTAGGAAGAGGTTTTTCCTGTGAGGGTGGTGAGACACTGGCACAGGTTACCCAGGGAGGCTGTGTTTGCCCCAACCCTGGCAGTGTTCAAAGCCAGGTTGGCTAAAGCCTTGAGCATCCTGGTTGCTCACAGGGAAGAGTTCCTTCCCAGAATCCCATCTCGCCGTACCCTCTGGCAGTGAGAAGCCATTCCCTTGTCCTCTCATTTCATATCCTTGTCCAAAGTCCCTCTGCAGCTCTCTTGGAGCGCTTGAGGCACTGAAAGAGGCTCTAAGGTCTCCCTGGAGCGTTCTCCAGGCTGAACACCTCCACCCTGTGGGATTCTTTTTTCCCCACTTCCAACCCCAACATATCAAAGCAGCAATACCCAGGTGGGAGGTGTCCCTGCCCAGGGCAGGGGGTTGGGACTGGATGATCTCTGAGCTCCATTCCAACCCCTGAACAATCTATAAATCTAAGTTACACACTGAGGAGACACAGTTCGTCTTGTCTTAGGAGGCTGAGGGGGGAGCAGAGCAAGATTAGGTTGTATTAGCATATAGAGTATCAAAGCTTGACGATGGTATCTAGTTACAAAACACCAGAAATAACATTTCCTGTGGCTCAGGAGACACAGCAGCTCCTCCTGACAGCCCCACACAAGGAATCTTGCTAAGATAACATCTGTCTCTGGATAATATGCCAGAATTCACAAGGTCTTTGTACAAAGTACACCAACAGTCCTCTTCTGCAGCCTGGGCTGTTTGCAGTCTGCTCCCCACGGCTTCCAGGATATCTTTCCGCCCTGGAGGGGCGTTAAACCAGCCACTGGAAGGCGTTGGTGTTGCTGTTTGTGAGCTAAATACATGTTTTCATTCAACAAGTGAAAACATTTTCCTCTCCTGCAGCCTGACTCACGCTGAGAAAGGGTTATTGACTCTGTGCCAAGCTCTTTTGTAATCACACCTCACTAGGGCATAGCAGGGAGATAAAGCAGTGTTCAGACCTTCCTCTCCTCCCTGCACAGGGAGCTGAGCTGCCCATTTCACCTTGTGGCTCTATGGAAACTCGGCAGGAGGGAACTCCACTGCAGGACCTGACTGGAGACATCCTGGTGCTATTCCCTGCTGCAGATGGGATTTTAGCCTTACTCCATCTCTCCTCAAGACCAAGAGTGTAACTTGTGCTTGCTGAATCAGAAGCAGAGGCAGAACAAGAGGTTTGGACAATCCCATTCTCTGTGTTTTAAAGTGAGATCAGGTTGCACAGGGCTTGGAGCAACCTGGGCTAGTGGAATTTGTCCCTGTCCGTGGCAGGGGGTGGAATATGACTCTTAAGGTCCTTCCAACACAAATCATCTGTGATGCTAACACTAAGAATAAAGCAGGAGCTTGGGGAATTGGATTCCTTTGTGGACATTTAGATCTTTTTTGTAAACACCTTTTTGGCCAGGAGGAGAAGGAAAAGTAGGGAAATTGTTGCAGGTTGATGCTTGTTTTAACTGCAGTTTGGCAACCAACCATGAGGAATGAGGCAAGAGGACTTAGAAAGAGCTGTTCTAGCCTGATCTAAAGCTTATTTGTCCAGCAAACTTCTGCTGGGAAACAAATATTAATAAGAAAGACAAGGCAGAAGCTGAACTAGATTATTCCTAGTCCATAGACTAGACTATATCCAGACTAGACTGTACCTAGTCTCCTTGATTTGACATACTCTGATCACTTGCCTTCTCACTTCCCACTTATCACTTGGAGGGATATATCTTGGCCCTATCTAATAGACACCATGAACCAGTGGAAAATGAGATCTGCTGCTAACCTCCTCCCCCAAAATGCATGGAATTAACAAGATATTTCACATTTGTAGACTCACACTGTAGATTCAAACTCATTAGTGACCTCCCAATACTTTTTATAAATCATTTACCTTGGGTTTCACATATTCAGGCAAGACCTGTGGGGGTCAAGCCCAAGGAGAGGCAGGAATCAGTGCAGGATTTGGGAATACTGCTTGAAACTCTCTCTGTAGCTGTGTCATGCTAAAGCACTGCAAAACAGGTGACACATGGGCATGGTACATCCTCAGCAGTTTGCATTTTACTGTGCCAACAGCATTACAACTCCACACCAGGCCAGAAGAAACCATTCACCTTACATTTTATGGATTTGCCCTTAAAAATCTCTCATCTGAGGACAGGATTGATGATTTATTCTTTTTTGGGAAAGGTATTTCTATAAATCATTAAAAAGTTAACCTCTCTAAAGATTAGAAAAGCTTAGTCAAAACTCTGTAATACCAACAGTGGGGCCAAGCAGAAGCAGTTCTGGTCTCCAAGGAATAGCAACATTCACTACAAGTGGAACAGCATCCACGAGGACAGCTGGAAGTGACAGCTTGCAGCTCTTCCAAGGAATCTCACAAGAAAGATTCAATGGCTTATGGACACATCACTGTGCCAGGTGACAATGCCACTCCTCTTTAATCAGTCAGCTTGCCACACAAAGGGAGTATTATTCTATTTACATTCAAAAATAGCATCTTTTTCTCTTCAGTACATAGTGGGAAGGCCTGGAAATGAGGTCAGGAGAAACCCTTCTAGCACAGGTGGAGGACAGCTTTGTTGATCTCTGGGTTTGTCCAGTCGTTCCTGATATCATCGAGGTGGTTATCAAAATCCACAAGGGTCTCGTAGGACTTGCTGTCCAGGAGAGATGCAGCAATTCTCTGGGCTTCAGTCCAGTCTTCACAAAAATCACTAGGATGGAAAAGAATACACAGGAATCACAAAGAAAATCTGGAAATGAAGCCAAATTGCAGCATGGTCAGGTGGTCACAGACAGCAATCAGCTGTCCTTCCTTGAAACAGCTTTAAAATCACTCAGCTACACCCACAGAGTCACTCAGCTACCAAGTTTTGCCCTCATCCAGACAACCTGTTCTTCCTTGCTACCCCAAACACCACTGAACTCTGAGTTTACTCACACATGTGGGTCCTTGCACCTCCACTTGTTCTCATGTAGCTCGTACACATGAATGGCAGGTTCCACACACTCCATCGTGAACTTGGTGTTGTCAACCTGGTGTGAGGCACAAAAACATCACTTCAGCCTCCTCCTCCAGACCCCAAGTCAAGAGATACATCAAAACCAAAGTCAGTTTGTAAAACAGGGCACCTTACACTCATAGAACCATCAAGGTTGGAGGAGACCTCTAAGATCAGCAAGTCCAACCATTAAACTGTCACTGCTGTAACCCCTAAACCATATCCTCACCCACTGTTCTACTTCCAAACAGCCAAACTTAAGCAGCCAACACCCTCTGTCACTGCGGCAAGGAGGCAAAGCCCCTTTGTGACATGAAAGATATGAATTTAAGGTCCAGAAGGGAGGCTGAAGCCTTGAATGTGCTGCTTGAAGTGCAGACAAGACTTCCACTTCCTCTGAGGAGGCAGAGAGCTAACCACAGTCTCTCTGCAGACTTCACTGGCTACAGGTCACTGTGTTTCTTCCCCAGAGAATTTGGAGGGGAAGAGAAGATTAATCACTTCTTAAAGGACCCAGAGAACATTTTCAAGGCTGGTCCAACACCAGAATGCAGGAGGAGGGTGAGGGGAATGAAGGTATTTACCATGATGAGTGCTGTGTCAGTAAAGCCTTCTGCAATCCTGGATGCCACTTTTTCTGCCACCTGGTTGGGACTGGAGCAGAAAGGAAAAGGAACTGAGTTATGTGAGCCATGAAACCAGCAGAAAATATGCTCAGAGAGATGTGAAAATAACACTGTGTGCTTGCAAACAGGAACAAGACAACAAGCTGATGTTACAGCTGATAGTTAGAAGGGCAAGAAACCCCCAGGGCCTCACTGCAGCACATGATGTGGATCTCAGCTGTGCTTAGGGAATGGGTTTGGAATGGCAAAATGCTCATTTTGGGCCCTCCTAGCTTCTTCCATCAGGCCAAAGGTCAGAGACACCTCTGCCCTGGTAGGCATTTAAAATACAAATGGAGTTTTCTCCCCAGTTTATCACAGTTTCATAGCATGTTAAGGGGCTAGAATGGACCTTAGAGGTCATCTAGTCCCAACCCCCTGCCCTGGGCAGGGACACCTCCCACCAGACCAGGTTGCTCAAGGCTTTATCCAACCTGGAATGAACACTGCCAGGGCTGGGCAGCCACAACCTCCCTGGGCAACCTGTGCCAGTGTCCAAATTTGCACTTGAACTCACTCAGTGTCCAGTTTTTCTACCAAAATCCTTTTAAAAAGATCTTTTAAAACCTTTACCATGTTCCAAATCTCTCTGTGGTGCCATTTAATTTCTTCAGAAATGAAAGGTTTAAAAATCCCACTAAACCTGTGATACTCTTTCAAACCTCCAACAGAACAAACTATATCTCCTCCTTAAAAATATCTCTAGGAGATTTATTTCCCTCAAAAGGAAAGGATAAATAATGCTTTTATCTCTGGTAGATACCTTAGAAGTCACAAGTATTACTTAAAACAACATACTTGAGTCTGAATCTACATTAACAAATAACTGGAATTATAGAACCATGGAATGGTTTAAGTTGGAAGAGACCTTAAAGCTCATCTCATCCTACTATCTGCCATGGGCAGGGACACCTTCCACTAGCCCAGGTTGCTCCAAGTCCCATCCAACCTGGCCTGGACCATTTCCAGGGACCTAATAATACTTTCAACAAGCTGTTCCTAATTTTAAATGTAAATATGATGCACTCTCATCAGTCCCAACACTGGATTTGTCCAACAGATCCAGGGGGAAACATCTGATACATGTCTAAAGTTAAATTGTGGCTCCACAGAAGTTTCCTTATTGCTTATTGAGTCATCTGAGCCAGCTCCCAAGGAAAAAATGACTAATCCTGGGGAAAAGAAGTGATAAATAAGAGATATCACTGCTTGACTAGCATCATCTTCCACTTGAAGAGTGTCTCTTTACCACCTAGGAAAATGTTTCCATAAAACTCAAGAGATAATTAAGCTGTTTACTAAGAATTAGGTCACTTCTGACTTTCCATAAGATACTTGGGAGTTGTCAGAGTTTACAAGCAAAACAAGCTGCAAATTTGGGCTATTTCCCTGACAACTGCAATTAAACTACTTGGCAGCCAGTCAAAAACTGCCCTTTTATAGCATCCACCAAAAGAGGGATTGTGGGGAAAGCCTGGAATTCTGCACCTGAACAAAGGCCACATCCCCCCAAGCCCATGGAGACAATGTGGAAGCAGATGCCAGTTGTCAAAAGGAAGCAACACATGGGATTTGTGTGGCTGATTTTTCCTGGCACAGTCCAAAGTACAACCTAAGAGAGCAAACAGAAGGAAATATTGCACCAACACACACCTGGCATCCTTCACACGTTCGTTTGCCTGGTAGTATCCAGCTATCACGTAGCTGTTCTCCTTGCACCAGGAGTCAATCTGAAAAGGCAACAGGGAACAGTGAAAACCAGGAAAAAAACAAGGAAAAATAACCTCAGAATAAAGGAAATCTCATGCCTGTCCCAGAAATAAACCAATACTGAGCATTAAAACATCTTTGCCAATGGGCTCTTTAAATATGTCTAGATTTATTTTTTTACATATCTTATATATATATTGT